GAACTTTTGATAATATAAGTACCAATATTAAATCAACTATTTTTTCATTTTTCCAATTTTATACTGGTACTAAAAAAAAATCTAAGCACAAGATTAGTCTAAGTCTAAGAATAGAACTGCCCATGTTCTCTTTCTTATCTCCATAGTACGTTGTCTTTCTAAGCTTTACTTCTTCATTCTTCTTAGAGCTTATTTTTATAGCAAATAAAAGCATACACAAACCAAAAATAGACAATCTTTGCATGTCTTCATAATGAGAATCCACAGTAGAATACCATGTGTCATGTTGCACAGAGCTAATTGGCTCAGGTACTGTAATGAGTGTGTTAGAAAGCATAAACTCTTGATCTACTTTTTGATTTTTTTGTTTGTTTTTTTTTTTTAATGCTAGATAGTCTGAGCAAAAAGCAGAAAGAGACAAGCAGGGTAAAGAGAGGGGATCAAGAACAGGCTGCGATTTGATGGTAAAATATTGTGAAAGTTGTTTTAAAGAAAGTAATTTTGAGTTTTACACGTCACTCAATAAACATTTTGAAAAGGTGTTTTATGAGGAGCCAGTTAAGGAAAGCCTTTTTTCTGGACATATTTTGCCCGTATTCTCCACTCTACCGAAAAATCTTACTGATACAATATCCTTTGCTCACTTTCTCTACCTACATACTGCCATCTTATTTCTGCATTCCCTAGTGACCTCCTTGACAAGTTCCCAGCTTTAGGAACAAGACCTGGTGCTTTCTTCCTTAGATACCCACTTTTCAGAATTTATTGTGACTTATGAGATCGCTTCTTCATCAGGTTTGCAAAGGCCTTTAAAAACCTCTGAAGTAGTTGACAAATAAACAAAAGGCATAGTGACATTGTATAATCCTTTCTGTATGAAATTAAGTCAAGAACAGAATTACAAACACAGATAATCAGGAGAAAATAAATCTATTAATTTTTATTTTATTAAACATTATTAACTGTAATAAATTTCAGATGATTTGATGTTTTCAATTGTCACACCTAATTTGTTTGGATGTCTAGAAATCAGATTTTAACCAATGTATTGGAAACTTAAAGACCTTTTCTAACCCTGAAACCTATAAATTGAATTGAAGCTTTTGAATGAAACCAGGCTATAGCAGTGGACTCAGGAGTTATTAACTTTATATTTTTCTCCTTTTCAGCATCAAATTTGGCCTTGAAAATGATACATATGATACTGAAAAATTAAGGGGAAGACCTTCTTAGTAATGATGAATATTCTGTGTGCTAGGTCCAATCAGCAGGTACAACCTGCAAGAAGCTTGTTTATCCAGCAGAGTGGTCTATTATTAGGACAGTGATGTAGTGGGGTTTATTTCATACCCTGAAATCACTCAAGGAAATAGCTGAGTGAATGATATTTATCTTGGACACTGTATTGTGCTATTACGTGTAGCAATAACTGGCAGCCTACTAAAATAGACATCAGGGACTACAACCATTCATTGAAGGCAGTTCTGAAATTTCAAAGCTGTTGAATTTTTCAAGTATTTTCCAATTTATAAAATAAAATAAAAGATGATTGACTGCTTGATGATGTGATGATATAAATAAAAACATTGCAAAGTACTGAGTGTATTTTTTCCCCACAGTTGTTTTGAATCACCTAATTGTAGGTGTTGGTGTCTAAATGTATGTTTGTGTCTTTTAAAATATATCTTTTCATTCTTCAAGGAATTTGGAAATCAGGATTTTAATTAGGTTTCTGATACATCCAAATTTTTCTAAACTCAGCACTGCATGTGTTCTCCACATCTCAAATGCCGAGTGCACATGGAAAGGGTCAGTTGTAGTGCATGCATGCTATCATCTATCTGAGTGTTCACAGTAATATAATTTTTAAGGACATGACAGTCTAATTTTCATTCCATTATGTGGTTTTAAGCCTCTGTTTATACTCCTCGGTTACGGTGGAATAGGGCCATTTTAGGCAGAGATAGACAGTTATCTTCTGAAATGTCATTGTTTTCACAAAATATCACAGAATGTTGTCTGTGTCTTTTGATATGAATGATGAATTTCTATTATATCCGATAGAATTGCATTAGCACCTTCTTATAGATGAAGGCACATTGGCTGAGTAGTATTGTGAGGTATTTCCTGGAAGATTTTTAAGATATTAAGCCTTCCAGCTGTAATAAGGTTAATGCAGTTCTAAGTGACTTGAATGTCAGTGTTGGCAAAGTTTAACTGGTATAATATTTCTGTAAGCAGGAAGAGAAGCATTCTGATGTTCGCTTCATTGAAAGATCATGTTGAGAAGAGGACACATGCTTTCTTAAGATTATCATTGAGTGTAGCTGTAATAAAGCACAGAATTACAGGGTGGCTGAGGTCCAAAGAGGCCTCTGAAAGTCATATGGTTCAAACCCCTGCTCAAGCGGGGCCACCTAGAAACAGCTGGATTCTGAATATCTCCAAGGATAGGGAATCTTCAACCTTCCTAGAACACCTGTGCCAATGCTCGGTCACTCTTAAAGTAGAAAAGTGTTTCCTGCTGTCCAGAAAGAGCCTACTGAGTTTCAGTTTCCTCTTGTACTCTTACTGGGCACCAGTGGAAAGAGCCTGGCTCCGTCCTCTTTGCAACTTCCCTTCAGATATTTGTATTCATTACTAAGATTTCCCTCGAGCCTTCTCTTCTCCAGGCTGATCAGTCTCAGCTCTCAGCCTGTGCTCATAGCAGAGATGCTTCAGTCCGTTAACCATCTTCGTGGACCTTTGTTGGACTCTGTCCAGTCTGTAAATGGCTTTTGTACTCAGAAACCCAAAGCTGAACACAGCACTCCAGATGTGGCCTCACTAGTGCTGAATTTGGTAATGTTCTCTCTGTTTTTGCGTGTGATATAGAATATTTACCAGCATATTGAACTGTACTGCAGATGATCCTTAGCATGCTCTTATGAGAAATAGCACACTGAAATAAAGTCAGTAGCATTTGCTCTGCCTCCTTCATTTGATACAAAGGCTTGAAACAGAGTTGCAATATATTCTAGTGGATTCAGCAAGCTAAAGGAACTGGGACCCATTAGAACTGAATATCCTGAGAGAGAAAACGTAACTAACAGACTAATAATATAAACCGAAGTGTACTAACTTAATTAGGTAGTGAAAGGCAAGATTAAAATTTGATAATAAAGTATGATGAAGAACCCATTACCTGGTTACTTATATAATGAAATTTACACTGCTAAGAGGTGTCTGTTAACTCATTTTTAGCATGGGGATGTAGAAGCAGAGAGAAATAGTATCAGAAAGGGAATGCACTTTCAGAAAGGTAAAAAATGAAATTATCAAAGATGTAATTGAATTCTGAAATAGATGGAAGTTAGTTTCTTAGAGTCCTATGGGAAAATTAATAGTGTAGCTTTCATTCACTTCAATTTCTACAAGAGTACAACTAAGTCTTGTTAGGGCCTCATAATTGTTACTAATTTTTAGGAACTGTTGGGTAGGAAAATTGGAACATATTATAATAGGGACATATTATACTCCCTTCCTGGTTTTAAAAATAAATGCAGGAGGAGACACTTTAAAGATATATTAAATATTTCTTTATGTGAATTCTGTTTACAATGCAAATTCATTCTAAAGTTTTCATTATTTTTTTCCCTTCATCTTTCAATGTTCTCTTACATTATTGCTTACACAACGCTGCATGAAGATGTCTGAGTCTTTCTTATTTTGCATGCATAATAAGTACTGTGGTATTATCCAAATATATGTCTCAGAAATCACTGTCTGGGATGTTATTCTCCCAGGTAAAAGACCAACACATTGTCTAGGTTTAAAGTGCTAATACTGTTTTATCTTGCACAGTAGTTTGAATTCTCTGTTAAAGTCAGTATTCAAACAACTCTAGGATGACACTTTAGCTTTGCAAAAGTTGATTTTCTGAGCTAGTTATCTATCTAAGATCTTTTAAAGTTAATAAAGTGTCAAATTCAATGACCAAATATTTATATGAGACATAGATACTAACTTTAGGATAAGTTGCACTTTGGTTATAATGATTGCTTTCTACTGACTGGATTGGGCCCTAACTAACTAGCTGAGACTGGATGCTGAGTTTTTAAGTGAATGAATATAATGGTGAATTTCCATGGTTGAAATTCCTTAAGAAAAAAATCATAAGCTTTTATTGTATAAAACGCCCCTTCTCCTTTTGTTGCTTTGGTATTCTTAACTAAAAATAAAGAGGAAGAGGAAGGGAGGTTGTGGTTTTTTGGTTTTGGGGTTTAGTTTTGTTGCTGGAGTTCAGAAACTCTAGCAAATCTAGTATTGCTTTCTGATGAACAGTTATTGTGGGACAGTATGAGTAGCGACTGATGTTATTCAAGAGAACAAAGAATTATTTACATTAATTTGTAATGTACTTCTGGAAAGTCAGAAATTCCAAGTGATATCTGTTTATCGTCTTCTTGAATAATCCATTAAGATTACTGACAGTAGTTTTCCTGACAGTATCTTTTTGCACATTTGCTCCTACTGTAAAGACAGTTTCTACTTCTCCTTCAAATCTATCTCAAACTTCCACACTTTTTGATTCAGACCACAGTTCTATGCCCTAATATCTTCTGAGACTCAATTTGCATGGTTACCCTGAAGATATTTGATTGACGTAATCCAGATTGGGACACCCTGTGTATCACGTGGCCTCTGTGTTTCACTAATTTCACTCCAATATTTTATAACTGGTCATGCTGGAGTTCCACAAAAGATAAAATAGCAATTGCTCAATTTTCTCAGAAGTTATCAACACTTAGCAATAAATGTCCTAAGAACTGTCCAGTATAGATAAGTACATGACATTAATACTGTGAAAATGCAGTTACTTTTTCAGGGATCAAAAGAGTCCTGCTAGTCACTCAAAGGGCCTTTTCTCAAATACAATGCTTTCCCACAATAAAGGTTCTGTGTGAACAGTGCTCTCCAAAGCCTCTGACAACCTCTTGTTGTTTTCTCTTCTCTTTCAGCTGATGGTTGCACTGACTGGTCTGTGGATTACAAGAAATATCAAGTTCTAGTGGGAGAACCTGTTCGTATAAAATGTGCACTCTTTTATGGATATATTAGAGCTAATTACTCCCTAGCCCAAAGTGCTGGACTTAGCTTGATGTGGTACAAAAGCTCTGGACCTGGAGATTTTGAGGAACCTATAGCTTTTGATGGAACCAGAATGAGCAAAGAAGAAGACTCCATTTGGTTCCGACCAACAGTGGTACAAGACAGCGGGCTCTATGCATGTGTTATAAGGTACTATATTTTAATATATTGCATTTTAATTAACCAAATATGAAACAAGGCTCTTAATAGTGAGACTTTTGTGTCAAAGAAAACTTTTTTTCTGATTGTGTTTCTCCTCCTGGCATTCCCTTCCTTGAAATAATTGATGCTTAAGTAGAAATTACTATTGAATATCCTGAACATTTTAACTTTTTTTTAATAGATTTAGTTATTTATAATGCAATCTAAACTTTATAAGGTGGGTAGGACTTATAAGTCCTGTGTTCTGATTGTGGTTTCACTCTTGCAATCACAATCCTAGAGTAAAAAGTTCCTTTTTTACATTTAGATTTCATTTTACATGGATTTCATTAAATGGTTTCATTTAATTATTTTTTTCCTGTTAAAAAAAATGCTATTTGATGTAAAGTAGTTGCATCAGGGAAAACAGAAGGTGAAATTTTAGCATTTTTGCAGATATATATCCTCTAGAATCACATCTGACTTAATCTGATAATAGAGGCTGGGTGACAGATGTCTTCCAAAAGTATTTAACCTTCTGATTCATTAAGCTTTATCACCATAAGTTGGACTAGATTCTGCTTCCTGATTTCTGCAACAGGTGTTCAGCCTCTTTCTGCATCTCTGATATGGTTAACACTGAGATGTTGTTTCCAGCTCTTTACAGTGCTCCTCTCTATCTGCATATCTATAAAAGAGGTCTTGCTACTAATACACAGTAGAAAGAGTGAAAAAGTTTCTTTACAAAGTTTAAAGAAACTGAGTGGCTAGAAAAGGAAGCTGCATGATGCAGCTATTCCCATGATGCAAGGAAAATAAGGAAACTGTTTTACCATCACCTGGAGATGTTAAGTGTCTGCCACATTTTTTTTTTTTATTATTTTTTATTTTGGGGAGGGGGAGCACAGATTACTGTCTGGTCTGTGGGTGATGAAGGAGATTTTTACTAATGAATGTGTTTATAAAAGCATTTATTCTATGAGCTCTTTACATAACCCGTGAGACATTTCATATCAATCATTTGCCCAATAACATTTTCAACATGATTTTTCTGATGATGACAGTTCTCTTTAAAAGAAAACCACAAAATGTTACAAATTAGGCTACTTAAGGAAAATGTTTAGTTATGTTTGGATTAATATATTTCAGATAAGTTTGTAACAGTAGCCATGAAAATGGAAATAGTTTTGTCAATTATTCCATAATACTATTTAAAATACCATAATTATCTCATCTGTTTATATAAAGAAAACCTTAATTAACTGATGTTGCACTTTCCAGCAAGTATAGATAAATGCTGAATTTAGATAATCACACACTTTAAAATGTGTTTTTTTATCTCAACCTGTATTCATGCCTTTCCTACATGAATTTCTTTTCAATTCAGAGATAGATAAGGGCATGTTCTCTACTGCTTTAAACTACATACTGCTTTTTTAGCACATGCTTTATTTCCAGTTGTCAGTGCTTATACATGTAGATCTATGATAGACTTTAAAAAATAAAGTAACAATTAATTGCTCTCCTGAAAACTATTATGACAAGTTACAAAGCCTTTCACCTTCAGGACACCCACTAGTATTGTCTAAAGAGCCATCTAAGCTTGTTGTATCTGTGTTTCTATTTTATACTTCTTGGATGGAACCTTTTAAATGTATGAGCAAGATTATTATTGGTAGAAGACAAAACCTCATTTCAGTATCAGAGGAATGTACTTTTTAATGCATGTTTTCTGCATACAGTCAAAGGTTACTTTCAGATAGTTTCAAGTGCCCACCTAGAATCTAGTTTAAAACTTAATAATTCAGGTTCCTGAGATAAACATGTACTTGATATTTTAACCTCATATAAATAAAATCAAATACTCAGCAGTATAATGGTTCTCTTTTTTCTTCATCCTTCCTTCAGATTCTTACGCTATAAAGTGATTATCTGATTAAAAAAAAAAAAAAGAGGCTGAAGTGATGCCATCTGACAAAATTATGTACTCTATCTGTACTTCCAAAGTTATTGCTACAGAAATGGATAACTAAACCTCTCACATCAAATAGCTGCCTAGTATTGCTTTTTGGTCTTGTCACTGAAATCAGAATACTCAACCCATAACCAACCTTATGTTGGTTACTGGTAGAACGTATCAAAGAATCTTGAGAAAGATTAGTGAGCAAGAACTATAATTTCTTTCAAGGAGTAAAGTGAAGATTTCAGAGATGATATTTAGGAGTCTTTTCTTACAGATTTGGGGTTTCTGTTTATTTTAATGATGAGGTGATGCCTTCAGAATAAATGTTACAAGCTGTTTCAGTTTTAAAAACGCGGTGGAGAAGCTCAGTTGAGACACTTAAAATTACCTTGTAGCAAACATGTTCAGTGTGATGATTGCAATAACTTGAGTAGGACAGCAAGAAGAAATACACCTGAGAGGTGATGAGGGCAGGCAGTAAAGGGTAAATGGGCAAAAGCAGAACTGCACTTTGAGTAAAAGACTGTTTAGTTTTTATTTTAAACTTAATTGAAGGGGTGAAACAGTCCAACGTGTATTATTTAATTTGCTCAGAACCTCCTTTCTTCACCATTCTGTTGCAATTTCTCTGTGCTGCAATTTTAAGGAAGCCAAAGATATAAAATATTAAGTCTTTCAGTGGATGTCACATCACATGGTTGCCTGCTGTTTATCATGTATGGGCTATAAATATAATTAGATAGGCTGCACAAAGAGTTAAAGTATATATATAATTCCAGCTCCCAGAAATAATGTGTGTCTATCTATCTATCTGGTATAACAGCAAGTAATAAGCAATTTCTGTCAAATGTTCTGCCTTTAACGTTGCAAAAACAGGTGAAATATTGTTCCTATTGAACCAACATTTTCTTCATTTATTCATCTTTTCCTTCCCTGCCTGAAAAACATCAATTACAGTGTCTCTAGTAGTTGCCCAACATATTATCAGCTTAGGTCAGTGGAGTCCTGGAGGAAGGCAGGACTGGGATTTATGGTAAAGTGCTACAGTGGGTTGTATTGCAAAAGATGAAATGGGGTTTTTGCATTGGTATGTCTGAGTGTTTAGAAATCATCTTTATTACCACATACAGTATATATAGCAATTCAGACATCTTTCTAAACCTGAATATGCTCTTACTAACTAATGACTGTTGTTTTTAAACTTATTTGTAAAAGTGAGATTTTACATCAGGAGGTAGAGATAATTCGTATTCCCTTGAAGAAACCTGTTTGGACTTGTATGTAACAAGCATGTAACAAGTTCACTTGTCCTCCATTTGTCTGTAATAATGATGATGGTTGTAGACTATTTACAGTTCTGTAGTTTAGTCTTTGTGAAGACTTATGTGTTATAGAATCAATCATAGAATCCTTAAGGTTGGAAATGACCTCCAAAACCGTCGAGTCCAGCCTTTGACTAAACACCACCATGTCAACTAAATCATGGCACTAAGTGCCACATACAGTAGTTTCTTGAACATTTCCAGGGATGGTGACTTGACCACCACTCTGGGCAGCCTAATCCAATTCTAAACCACCCTTTCAGTGAAGAAGTTCTTCCTCATATCCAACCTAAACCTGGCATAGCTCAAGGCTATGTCCTCTCGTCCTGTCACTACTTGCCTGGGAGAAGAAGCTGACCCTTACCTTGCTACAATCTCCTTTTGGATAGTTGTAAACAGTGCTAAGGTCTCCCCTGAGCCTTCTCTGTCTTCTTTGGACTAGTCCCAGCTCCCTCAGCCTCTCCTGATATGACTTACTCTCTAGACCCTTCACAGAATCAGAGAATATACTGAGTTGGAAGGAACCCACAAGGATCACTGAGTCCAAATTCTGGCCCTGCACAGGACCATCCCCAAGAATCACACCATATGCCCAAGAGCATTGTCCAACTGCTTCTTGAACTCTGTCAGACTTGATGCTGTGCCTACTTCCCTGGGAAGCCTGTTGCAGTGCCCAAACACCCTCTGAGTGGAGAACCTTTTTCTAATATCTAACCTAGTAACACACAGTACAACGTTCTAGACAAAGAAGTAAAGACTGAAATAGTGTGACGTATAGAGAATTTTCTGATTTTACAAGGGAAGGAAGGAACGAAGATTATTGTCCACTTTCATTTAGCCTCATTACTCTTGCTATGGTCTTGCAAATATGAAAGTAGAGGCTTCAAATATATCAATGTTTCTAGTTAATGTTTTAAGGTGAGCTTTAATCTTTACTGGATGGATATATGTGAGATATTTCAAATTCACAGCAGTTCTATTTTATGATTTTATATTTACAAATAGATATGCACATGCATCCACTCATATAGACATTATGTTGCTGAATCGCATAACTTCCCCGCCATACAGTTCAATTAGTATAGATATATTTTATTTAAAACAGGAATAAAATAGAATGCCATAGAGATATTTTAAATAAGATAATATTAATATTCTTCAAAAAATTGTCGCTTAAAACTGCTTCCAAACTATCTTTGAAAAGCACCACAGTGTAGGACAGTATAAAATATCGGGGGGGGGGGGTTTCTTTCCTAGCCATGATTGGAAATGTGAGATTGCTGAATTTATGAAAAAATCATTCTTTATCTTCATCACACGAAAATTCATTTTAGGTTAGATAGCATAAATTTCTTTGTTTGATAGGATATGTTCCTGTAGTGCTCATCTTCAAATATAAAAATATTGATTTCTTTTAGTTGTACAGCTCTAATTCTGTCAAATCATATCAATCATGTCAATTCATTTTAAGAAGAATATCTATTTTTGCATATTTCATGTATGCACAATTGTTTAATTCAATATCAGAAATCCTGAATTCAGAATGAATAAGGAAATCTTTGCTTTACTGAAGGAAATGGTAGGCAAAATAAGAAATAGAATCAATTTTTCATAAACCTTGTGCAAGCACCGTTTCTTCATCATCTTGAATAATGTAAAACATGTTTACAAATGGGAATTGCTATTGCAGGGCAACAGCCATTTTTGAAATCTGTCTTACTCTA